TATCGTGATATAGTTTTCAGCCATATCGCCCAGCCCTAATTAATAGTGTAATTGATGCAACACATACAGCTCATCTTGCCTGCCCTGTGGCCTCTTTCAAATGGAAGTCAAAGTCTGGAGCCCCAACGACTTAGCGGAAAGCTTTTTCAGACACAGAGTGTTTGATTCTCACCTCCGTACGCCGTGTTTCCGTTTGGAGGGAGTCGATTTGCTTTCATTCAGAAATAGCATCCGCAGAGTGACACGTCAAACACCTGTGTGACTCAGACGGCATATGTCGCATCTGACAGCGCCATGTATTTTTATATGAGGCTATTTCTGTGCTCTTCTATTTTGCATGGATCTAGTTCCTTCTGTTATTCAATCAGGCTTGCTAAGCTCTGGCATATGTGACATTAATACATAACGACTGAGAAGGCTCCAGTATACATTTGACAGCTGGTGAGTCACCTCTGAGGAGGTAGATTGCCTTTTGAAGCTATACATTACCTACGCCAAGTTGTATATACAGGTGAAACTGGGAAAATTAGAATAATGTTCAATAGTTCATTTACTGCTGTAATTCAACGTGCAAAGTGAAAATAATATATGACAGACTCATCTATTTGTTTCTCTTTAAGTAAGATATATCAAGCCTTTATTTGTACAATGATGATAATTGTTTCACAGCTTGCAAAAACCTCAAACTTTACAGACTGCGGTTGTAAAATCCCAGGTTGTCGTTGTGTCCTTCGGCAAGACACTTCACCCACATTGTCTCAAATGAGTGTGTGTGAATGGTGGTGGTGGTCGGAGGGCCCTGGCACATAAGGGTTTTCTCACTTCTGTCAGTGTGCCTCAGGGCAGCTGTGGCTACAGTAGTAATTTATCACCATGTGAAGCATCTTTGAGTATTCAAAAATATTGTCATGGCAATCAAGAATATATTCAAGAATCCATTTGCAGTAAGGAAAAACTGTGCAAGACTTCCCCAGTGTGCACCAGACAGCAGACATCAGAGCTCTTGCCACAGCACCATTTTCCGGCACCATAAAAGCAGGAGTAATATCCATATCACAATGATGTGCAATAACTTTGAGTTACCAATCTGTGAAAATAATAAATTTATTTCAAACATATACTGTACTTGTGCAGGCCTTGTCATTAAGCTTTGTCAGCCACTTGCCCTTTGGGCAAATACCATTTATATTTTACTTGCCCAATGTCAAAAGATACTTGCCCAAATATTTATTAATACAATGAGTTAACAAGAGTTTGGCAATAAAGTGATAAATGTGTGGAAAAATGTAAACAATCCACTCTCAGCTCAAAAAGTTAAATAATGACTAACGGGCTTAAGTAAGCAAAATAAAAAAACAAGACACCTGTGATCTGTTATGTTTGATTTGTCCACAACATTATACGTTTGTGCCCAACCAACATGCATTGTTAATGCAAGCAAAAATGTAGGTACCCGAGCTTTAATTTTCTGAGTTTTGGTCACGGGGGAGACCCGCACTTGCAACAAACTGGGGAAGGTCCTGTCCGCGCATCTATGGTCCTGTTCGTGTCTGCGCGTCTATGGTTCTGTCCGTGCGTCTATGGTTCTGTCCGCACGTCTATGGTTCTGTCCTCGCGTCTATGGTTCTGTCCGCACGTCTATGGTTCTGTCCGCACGTCTATGGTTCTGTCCTCGCGTCTATGGTTCTGTCCGCACGTCTATGGTTCTGTCCGCACGTCTATGGTTCTGTCCTCGCGTCTATGGTTCTGTCCGCACGTCTATGGTTCTGTCCGCACGTCAATGGTCTGTGCTTGGTACCACGTTAAGGCTGTGTGTTTGCTGAGCTTTTGTCAAAGAGGCTGTCGTTATAAAGCTGCCGCAGTTGCTCCCGGGGTCAGAACGAAGGAAGTGAATTCCGTTTGAGTACGTAACGCAAACAGCAGCAAGTGCACACGGTCACACAGAGGAAAAAAGGACGGAAATTGCAGATCCGCAAACAAATTTCATCTCTGGTTTATCACTGGTGCATTTCATTGGTCCGGAGAATTTTCCAATGAAGAGAATTGCTCAAAAAATGATAAACAGACGTGTTTGCTACCGCCTCTAGAGGTAGAAATGCAGGAATGCATTCCCGGCCTGAATGGGTTGAAGAAATACATCACTTTCCCGATTGGGAAACTTCCTAAAACAGCACACTTGCCCATCCCAAATCTTTAGTTGCCCCGGGCAAGCGGACAACCGTTAATGTCGAGCCCTGCTAGTGTGATGCTTTCAGATCATGGAAGACACAAAACAGAAGTGACAAAGTATTCAACGCAAACAAAGTTCATTATATATAGTGGATATGTTGAATGCAAATATGATTTATTTGAGGAAAACAAAATATTGCAATATTGTTATCACATTCCTAGACACCACAATCACATATTTCACTTTATTCCTATATTGTGTAGCTCTACTGTAAGGTAAAAATCCTCAGAATGAAAATCAAGGCTTGGTTTATGTCCTTTTGGATTAATTTAACATTTTAAGTTGAATTACACAAATAAATGACTTATTATGAATTAATTTAAAATTCCGAGTTTCACCTGTAATTCCACTCTGCCTACTGCCTGCTAGTTTAATCAGGCAGTCCTAACAAAAAAGACTTTGACTGAGAGACCAAATGGGCTTTTAATCCAGCTATTATAAGAGTTAAACCCAGCTTCTTATGTGGTCAGTGGCGCAGCGTTTATCAAATGTGCCATACGCAGTCACAGCAGGGGGCCAGTCATTCAGACTCACTGCTCATTTATTAACAAACAATAACACGGCATGCTTCTGGCAGCAAAGTCAATCCGTCACAATGACAGCAGAAACCAGACTGTTTACTCTGATGAGACACCGCAAAACTAACCACTAGGAATTGTAGAACAGAAAGTGGAAAGAAAATGCCAAGAAACTAGTGTGATCTTTGCCTGTTACATCAAAAGTATGTAGTTTGCAATGTGACACATTTCTCAACAGGAATAATCATAGTGGAAGAATTATAAATATTTTCTGTCACTACTATGGCCTCCAGTTCTTTGCGTTTGTTGTTTTGCCCATTGGCCATGTGCACTCCATTAACCTTTCCTCATTTCACACTCATTTCATTTGTGTTGTATTTTTCTTTCTTGTTGCTGCATTTGTTTTCTGCTCGACTAAACCTTGAACTTATGCGTTCGCAGGAAATCATTTCTGCTTTTGTAACTGCTTGATTCAAACCCAACTTTCCAGTTTGTCGATAAAGACAAGGCTTGGATTTTAATAATAATTATAATAATAATGTATCGGTTTTATATAGCGCTTTTTTGGACACTCAAAGACGCTTCACGTCATTATTCTTTCACACCCTGCACAGTGGTGATGAACTAATACTGTAGCCACAGCTGCCCTGGGGCACACTGACAGAAGCGAGGCAACCAGTATGTGCCATCAGCCCCTCTGACCATCACCAACCATTCACACACACACCAGACTCATTCTAGACAATGTGGGTGAAGTGTCTTGCCTATGTCATAGTGATAAAATGGCATCATAATATTACAGGATTGAGACAGGACCTTTTAGACAGAAGTTTGTGCCAGAAGTTCCTGATAATATCGAGGATTAGGGCTCGACAATAAATCTAATTTCTTCAATCAATTAATCTAACTTGTGAATGTGAGAAAGGTCCGAATCATAGTTTAAGCAGTTGTGCAGCCGGTGTATTGGACACAGAAGACACAAGTTTTTCATTAAACAGTATTATAATCCAAAGGGAATAATAAATTTGACAATAAATTTTTTTGCCAGCCCCTAAAACAACTCCTTGTCTGTTTTTGTTTGCTTCAGCTCTTGTTGACTTCCATGAAAAGTAAACTCCTTAAGCTCAGTAACTGTCACACCATTTTAGCCTTAAAATCTGTGATTTAAGGCTCTCTGTGATCTTGGTGTATATATTTTCCAGATATGAGCCAGATAAAGATTGACCAATCAGATGCCTAAGCAACACGTCTGCCCCTGTTACAAGGCGCCATGGAAGAAATGCCCATATAAGGAATTTGGCACCAGCTAGCTTACATGTTCGAATCGGTGTAAAAGCTTGGGAAAACAATGTCTGGAGATATAAACCAATTTACATCGAAACGCCTTCATTCACAACAAGAAGTACAAGTGGAGAGATTGCAAGTATATGCTTCTTAAAAAGAGGCAGAAGTGCTAACAACTCTGCCACTGAGGACACCAAAATAGCATGATTGTACAGAGACAACATGATTGCCATGGTACACATGAATGATGTCCCTAAACTCATCTCTGACATCTGGAGCTTCATAAAAATAGCAGTGCTTCCACCATGCAGGAGACGGAAAGCGTCTGCGTGATTCGATAAAACAGGATCCAGCTGTTCAGTCGCTGCGGGCCACAAACGCTGATTACACAACACACAACTATCTCAAAATTAATCTGAGCCATCTCCATAACCGAAGGAGCCTTTCTTCACATGACGTCCACTTTGAAACACTTACTGAAGCCACGGCGATCAATGTAGTTATTGGGAAGGTCATTATGTGTGCAGTAGACCAAAAACCACTACAAAATGTTTCCATAACTTTCCAACTTTACATATATTAGCAACAACATAAGCATGTTTTGAATACCCATTAAATGCATCATATACATACATACAGCTAACAGATATACAGGATCTACAGCCTGGCCGTCAGTAGGAGAGGATTCTTCTCTCAATGTGGGCTTCCCTGGGGTTTCTCATTTTTTTCACCACTGTTTTTGTTGTTGCAGTTGTTCCTTGCCGGAGGGTCAAAGGACAGTGATGATCTGGGACATTTATTAACATTTATGGACATTGGTCATGACTCTCTTTGGATCACTAGCTCCTTATTGCATTTCTTGTGCTTTACTTTACTAAAAATGTGACTTTCTGTACATCCTTTCTGTACATTAAACAGCTCTTACATAACATCTCTCGTGCTCATGTCATGATTTATGGGTAACTTACAGCCAAAAGTCGGGTCTTGTCCTTCTCAGCGCAGTTGAGTGCGTTCTCCAGGCTCAGGCGGTGCTTCTTAGACACCTCCTCCAGCGTTTTGGCCTGGCCGTCCTTCATCTGGCAGGCCTCCTCCTCGTAACGCGCTCGCAGGCTGCCGATGTCCTTCTCATGGGAGGCCCTCTCCTCTCGAAACGCCTGAAACGACAAAGCAGCATGGATGTGAATGGAAGGAAATGGTCTCAGCTGGGGTTTTTGACTGCCCAAAAAAAAAAAATTGAGCTAAAGTTCCCAACCTTTTGTACCATGCGTACCCCGGTGCAAACAAGGCACAAGTCCCTCTTAATAAAAAAAAATATACAATGTATTCAATGTATTTGAGTGGCCCCTAAACTCATTAGAAAACTTTGACTGGAGTCTACTTTTTTAAACTGAGGTCTCGTCATTTTCCGAGCCTTGATAATTTGGTTTCAAGGAAACGTTTGGTTTTCAGCTCATCATTTTGGATCTGATTTTGTATATTTGTTAGATTATGTAGGTATCTAAACCAAATTATTGCTTTTATTTGAGGTTTAGATCTTTCTGAACAAAATGATTACATGCTTGGACTGAACCAAAACTAAGTAAGAAAGCTTATCAGTATGTAGCCTGGCCATCCGTACACTCAGCTCAATTATCATTTTCCTGCATGTAACGTCTGGGTCTGGTCCCTGTGTTTGCAATAACAATCGGTTGAATTCCATCCTTATTTAACTCTCCCTCTCTTCAAAAAATATTTGTGTGCATAAAATAAATAAGTTCATAACTGAAGCTTTCAAAGACAATTGAAAATATGTTTTTTCAAGTTAAATGAAATGATAACGATGTGTGACAACGGGTCCGGCCGGCCACAATATGACAACATCCCAATGTGGCTACCCAAAGGAAATAATTGGCCCTCACCATTCCTTAATTCATGATTTGTAATGGTTTGTTATAACTAAAAAGTATTTGGCTCAAGATTTAACATATATAAACAAAATGGAAGCAATACAGGATTTCACTAATGCTGTGTACAGAAGCAGTTGATCACTCATTGTTCTTTCCATTTTGCCACTTAACATTCATCCGAGGTATTGGTTAAAACCCAGTGGCTAAGAGCTGTGTGTCTGGGGGCAGTCTCCATCTGTGGAGGCTGTAATTGTCTTATTGATTATCATCAGACAACATCAGCAGTAGAATCCAGATGGACCACTGACAAAGACAGAGATCATCCTAGGGCAGTCTTTAGCATCACAGACTGCAGTATGGTGAATGATTAATACTGTTCAAATGTGAGTTACACAAATAGCTTAGGGTCATGTTTGTGTATGAGGAGCTTTTTTGAAGAGGCGTCCATCCCAGTGGTCAGAACAGAACTCTGCTGTGAGATCATTTGGCCAAACAAAGCCAAAGGAAATCCACCCACCACAGTGACATAAACAAAAGAGAAAACAGCCCTAAGCCTGAAGTTGCCCTCCTGCTAGGGAGGACACCAGGGTTTCACAGTGAGGAATAGTGACCAATGCGTTTCCAGTAAGAAAAACGACAGCATCAAAATGACACTAAATAACTTTTTTGTTGTTGTCTGTCATCTTGTCATTTTGCAGTGGCAAGGGTTTCTTACACTTTTTTAGCTTGTTCTATTCCTGTACTTTAGCTTGTTTTGTTCCTGTACTTTTTACCTTGTTCTATTTATGTACTTGTCCGGGGGACACTGGGGACCAGACAAGTACATAAATAAAACAATGTGGTTTTACTGCAAATGGCGAATCTGAATCTGATTTCCCATAACAACTGTACATAAGCCTACATAAGCCTGCATGACAGCCCACTGCAACAAACCGTTCATATCTCAAGCTCTGTAGCAATGTAATGGTACATTTTTATAGTTTGTGATCTTCTGTTATCCTGAGGCGACCATGGGAGCGGGCGGCAGGCGAGCTCTCAGTGGGGGGTCCTTGGCAGCTCCCACTGGATCACACTGCACAAATGTCACCCTTCAAAGTACCACCAAGCTAACACACATGAAGCAGCTACACTTGACATTTATCCCCCGCTAGGCCACCCTGTGCTGACACTGCTCTTTCTCACAGCATCTGCCCTTTCAGAGTCTTTGTTTTTCTAAATAGTTACAGTGTTGAAAGTTGGAAAGAAGCAGATCGACAGAATGGTTAAGACGTCAGATTGGATCCTGTTTTCCATCTGTAAGTAAATTACATGTTGACTTTTGCACAAATAGCCAACTACTGGCTTGTGGTGCCATGTAGCTTGACCACGTCAGACATGTACAACCCTAAACAACAATGCTCGTTCTTTCTCTATCTTCTATTGAACAAGTTGTTTCTCCAAGGTCAATTGGTTTCCATTAACGTTAGTTAGCTTTTACCACTGCTTGTCTAGGTAAAAGCTAACAGGGTCAAAACTGTTAGCCTACCTCTGTCTAACAACTACACACACACAAACATACCAGGAGCCTTGCCCTATAATTAATAAGCACTCCTTGAGGTCCTTGAGCTACCCACTGCCACCTAGTGTTCATCATCATAAATTTCAGCCTTGAGAAACTGGCCTTTACGCTATACTGTACATCACTGATGCTTCAAGGTATTGGAACGGTGGTGCTATTGGTACAGTGCCAAGAATGGTGAACTAGTTCATAGCCTAGTTGTTTCACAGATTTTTGGGAGTGCATTTTTTTGTGTGCACTGCAGTGATTAGAAGACTTCCACGGTTTCCCTGTTGCCCTCAGTCATGCACCTGGTGCTCAGTGCAGCTGTATATTACAGACTATGCACAGCTTTTGACAGCTACAGCAGCACTCTGACCTACAACGAACAGGTTTGAAATCTCTGCAATTGCACTTCAGCAGTCATGAATTCAGGTGGTTAGAAAATTGTATAAGTTGTGTGGTGAGGGGTCTTACAGCCTTAAAACATACTGTAGCTGCTACGCCACAGATTTTGCTTTTCTTGCGGGTTATTTAAGAATCAGAATGATTTTATTGTCATGTGAGTAACAATAAGTCAAAGACTAGGAAATTGTATTGGTTCTCAGTGCAAACAAGTTAAAGTTAGTTATTTAAGAACAAAACCTATGCCATAAATCAGGGACCAATGTATAATGAACATATTCATATTGGTCTTTTGGCACTGGCAATTTTTTGCTACATACACTCATTTTAAATTTGAATGGTTTTGAGAGCTTATGTCGCACTTCAGCAGTCATGAATTCAGGTGGTTAGAAAATTGTATAAGTTGTGTGGTGAGGGGTCTTACAGCCTTAAAACATACTGTAGCTGCTACGCCACAGATTTTGCTTTTCTTGCGGGTTATTTAAGAATCAGAATGATTTTATTGTCATGTGAGTAACAATAAGTCAAAGACTAGGAAATTGTATTGGTTCTCAGTGCAAACAAGTTAAAGTTAGTTATTTAAGAACAAAACCTATGCCATAAATCAGGGACCAATGTATAATGAACATATTCTTCTTTTCATTGCTTGGATAACAACAGGCTAAAACATAAAAACATGATTTTTACTCATTTCTGCCCTCCAATGAAAGAATACTTGTCATGGTGCGACAGGCTCAGGAAGACATGAATAACCAGACACACTAAAAAGACTGGTCAAGACAAAGCTAGAATTATGACCAAGCATATACAAGTAACTTGTATTTTCAGGGTGAGTTGGCTTTAGGTTTGCTCCAGCAGTTAGGAAAATGAATTTCTGTTTTGGCCTTTTACTGTTTAGAGAGTGAAGACCGTAAAATGAGTGTCCTTTGTCTTAGCTGTACAGAGAGTTGGCCGTGTTCATTTATTTACTCACAGACAGAAACTAGTTTTCCATGTTGAGCTGGAGGTGATTTCCTTTTGTGAAATTATTTTTGTCTGGTTACAGTGGTGCATGAGTCAGGGGTGTCCAAACTTGTTCCATCAACACTGGCGGGCTGGACAGAAACATAAGCTCTCAAAACCATTCAAATTTAAAATGAGTGTATGTAGCAAAAAATTGCCAGTGCCAAAAGACCAATTTTCACACTTAACACTACCAGAGGACACGTGAAAGACCCTGGTTATGACATAGTCTGTAGTCTGTTCATTGCTATTCACTCGCTGTCCCATTGTCTGATTGGGACAGTGAAAATATGACCCCTGAATCTGGCCTGTGGACTGCTCACACCTGCACCTCTTTTTCCTACTGAGTTGAGCTGGGACATTTGAGGACATTCATGGACATTTATTTACATATTTGGACTATGTTAACAGATCGAGAATCTTTTGAAGTCCTCAGAGAAGACTGCTGCTGTGATTTTGGGCTAAACAAAAAATAATTGAATTAATGTAAATATTCGTAGATCCAGAAGTCCAATGGTCATAAATGCACTGTTTATCACATGGTCAGGATGCTTGATGGTAAAGGATAAATGCTTATAGGGCCACAATTTCCCTAGGGCTGTGTATTGGACATAACTGATCAATAGGCATGAATTCTAGATCTCCACTGGGATTGGAATTCACAGCACAAAGAGCTTCAAATAGCTTGATATGTGTGAAAGCTTCCTCACATAACATAACATGTTACCCTGGTAAAATAAAGGTCATGAAAAATAAATAGACTACCAAATGCAATAAAGCTTTTCTTTTCTCTTGGTACTTGAACTGAATGAATGGATTCCTCGAGATTCCTGATGCCGTTTATAGTCCTGACCTTTCTAACTGGGTCACAAAGATTCATTTTTCTGAAGTGGATACACTAGTCTGGACCTGAATAAAAAAAAACAGGAAAAGGCTTTTGATGTATTTATCAGGGCATTTATACAGTACAATCAAAGACTGTACGTATATTAGACGTGGACTAATAGAGTGCTGACGTCCCCATAGTGTGAACATAAGATAAAATAAACTTATCATAAGCAAGCTGGAGCGAATTTCCTTAGGCTGAGTTTATACAAAGGCACTGTGCAGACCTTGCCAGGCTATTAACAGAAACGACCAGGCTCCTAATGCAAATTTCACAGCATACATACGAGGATCAAAAACGATGTAGTTCTAGCGCCCGGCCAGTAGTAGGCAGAGGATCTTTACAAAACGACACACGCTCCCCCCAGCTCCCCCCCAGCAGTATACTCACTTCCTCTGCAAGACGTGAAAGATGCACCAACATCATTCTGCATTTAACTGCAGCTGCAAAAATGGAAACTGAAACTAGAGCTTCGCGTGGTCTTGTTTGGACGAATGAAGGAGTAGAATCCTCCTCTGTGTAGCGCTCGAAACACACGTAGCTGATTAGTGTACCCGCAGCCATTGTTGTTTACGTTTGTTTACGGCTAGAGCGCATGTCCAAACTTACGTGCTGGGAGCAGCGGGGATGGTGGGGGTCAGAGCAGCAGCGGAAAATTCACATTTTTTTCCCTCGCACGGGTGTGAAAGAGCTCCCGCTGACCACTCTGCAGGCTGGATCTTAACTCTTACGTTTTCACCCCCCTGGAATACAGTTTCCGTATGAATGGGGGTAGCAACCGACATCCAACTATAGCGTTTTACTGCTGCATTGTCTTCGTGTAAACTGGGACTTATTTGGAAATTTGTTCTGACAGGATCAGAGAGACATGATTTGTTGAAGTGTGACAAATGGTTGGGCGAGCCAGTCTCCAGATCTCAACCCCATAGAAAAATCATTGGAGGGATTTGAAAGTGTGTGTTGCCCAGCGACAGTCCAAAACACCACTGCTCTATTAGAGATCTGCATGGAGGAATAGGCCAAAATACGAATAAAAGGGTGTGAAAATGTTCTACCTGTCATTGCAAACAAAGGGTTGAGATGGACTTTTGTTATTGACTACCCACTTGTTTTCCACCATAATTAGCATTATTCTTTATTCTTTATTTTTTATTATCTCTCTCTGACTGTTGCACTGAGCCAAAGCAATTTCCAAGTCTGTTTCAGTTTCAGTTTAGTTTATTTCAAAGGGGGACAATGCAATTTAATAAAACACATGATAAAACATGAGTTAAAAAAGCCAGAATTAGCCAAGGAGGCTATTTTTCATCTGTAGTCCCCTGGCTGTGATGTTAAAACTGACTTCCTGTTACTTACGTGGCAATAAAAATTATTCTGATTCTGATTCTGATGTTATGGGTTTCTCCCCCTTGGAATGCCACCTCTCCCCCTGGGACTGCCACCTTAACGTGGTGGGGGAGTTTGAGTTCTCGGATGATCCTGGGAGCTATGCTGTCTGGGGCTTCATGCCTCTGGTAGGGTCTCCCATGGCAGATAGGTCTCAGGTGACGAGTCAGACAAACCATGGACAGCACAGTTATGACAATAGCGACGTCACCCGGCATGGCGCAGCCGGGGCCTCACCTTGGAGCCAGACCTGGGGTCGGGGCTCGCAAGCGAGCGCCTGGTGTCTCTCCTGTGGGCCCACCACCCGCAGAGGGGTCCGTGGTGTAGAGCCCTGCACTTGAGCCCTTGGCCCGAGGGCCCCGACGGCCCGACAGCCCGAGGGCCGGGCTTCGGGCCGATGACCGCATAATGACCTCGGACACGGGCCGGGCTCGGGCTCTTCATTTTCAGAGCGGCAGAATAGATTTACGAGCGCACCCACTGAATATAGCGTTCTATCACGCTGTAGTGTTTGTTGTTCTGTGTAGTGTTGTCATTGACGGCACATAGCATTATAATGTGCAGATGTGTTGCAGCATCGGGGGCATCATACAGATGCGGCCGTTCACTCTGCACCACTCCGCACACACAGAACTCATTGCAACACATCACTACCATGTATAACTCCGCCCTCTAGCTAAGTCTGCGTTCATATCCGTGCGCGGCACTATATACTACGCTAAAACATTGTTATGGGAGGTTACAAAAAAAAAAAAAGGCGGGCTTGATGCGGGTTTTGGGCCTGAAAATTCAGAAACCATATCGGGCCGGGCCGGGCTGGGGCGCCACCCCCTCGGGCCAGGGCCGGGCTCGGGCCCAGATAATAGGCCCGTGCAGGGCTCTACCGTGGTGGTTCGGTGCAGAGAGGACTGGGCAGCGGTCGAAGGCGGAGACCTCGGCGACCCAGTCCGCACGCACAGCATCTAGCTCTTGGGACGTGGAATGTCACCTCACTGGGGGGGAAGGAGCCCGAGCTCGTGCGGCAGGTTGAGCGATACCGACTAGAGATAGTCGGCCTCTGACCTTCGACCGCGTGTCTCGGACACTCGGGTGAAGAGAGGGGCGGAGCTGTCAACCGATCACCACCTGGTCGTGAGTTGGATCCACTGCCAGGGGAGGAAGCCGGTCAGGCCTGGCAGACCCAAGCGTGTGGTGAGGATCCGCTGGGAATATCTCGCTGAGCCCCCTGTCAGACGGACTTTCAACTCGCACCTCCGGGAGAGCTTCTCCCAGGTCCCGGCAGAGGAGGGGGACCTTGAGTCTGAGTGGACCATTCTCTTCCTCTATTGCCGATGCGGCGGCTCGTAGCTGTGGTCGCAAGGTCTCTGGTGCTGGTCCCGGCGGCAACCTCCGAACCCCGTGGTGGACACGGCAGTAAGGGATGCCGTCAGGCTGAAGAAGGAGTCCTATCGAGGTGATGGTTCGTGGGACTCGTGAGGCAGCTGTCCAGTACCGGCTGGCCAAGCATGCTGCGGTCCAGGCTGTTGCAGAGGCAAAAACCAGGGACTGGGAGGAGTTCGGAGAGTCCATGGAGCATGACTATCGGTCGGCCTCGAAGAGATTCGGGCAAACCGTCCGGCGCCTCAGGAGGGGGAAGCAGTTCTTTGCAAACACCGTGCACAGTGCGGGAGGAGATCTGCTGACCTCAACTGAGGATATTGTCCGGCGGTGGAAGGAATACTTCGAGGTTCTCCTCAATCCCCCCGTCACGTCCTCCGCCCCGGAGGCAGAAGCTGAGGATGTTGGGGCGGATACTTCCATCTCCCTGGCTGAGGTCACCAAGGTGGTTGGCAGCCTCCATGGTGGCAAGGTGCCGGGAGTGGATGAGATCCGTCCTGACTCTCTAAAGTCTCTTGATGTTGTAGGACTGTCTTGGCTGACACGTCTCTGCAACAATGCGTGGCGCTCGGGGGCGGTACCAATGGAGACCAGGGTGGTGGTCCCTCTCTACAAGAAGGGGACAGAATTTATGGACAGAATTTCTAGGCGCAGCCAGGGGCCGGAGGAGGTCCGGTTTGGGGACCACAGGATTTCATCCCTGCTTTTTGCGGATGATGTTGTCCTGTTGGCTCCAACGAACCAGGACCTACAACATGTACTGGGACGGTTTGCAGCAGAGTGAGAAGCGGCTGGGATGAGAATCAGCCCCTCCTAATCCGAGCCCATGGTGCTCGACCGGAAAAAGGTGCCTTGCCCACTCCAGGTGGGTGGAGAGGTCCTAGTTCAAGTATCTCGGGGTCTTGTTCACGAGTGAGGGAAGGATGGAGCGTAAGCTTGACAGGCGGACCGGAGCAGCGTGCGCAGTGATGTGGTCGCTGTATCGGACCGTCGTGGTGAAGAGGGAGCTGAGCCGAAAGGCAAAGCTCTCACCTTACCGGTTGTTATTGCTGTAATTTACAGTCAATCCTGACAAAATCACAAACACAAAAGACATAGTTCGGCATTTTTATTCTTGGTTGCCTTTTCCAAGGAGAAGCGATTTCCAAACCAGAGAGAAGGCAGAAAGCTGCTCTCTCTTTGGTTTCCAAGTCAGATCTCCCTCAGATCAGGCAGGAAACAAGACACCTTCATATGCATACTGGACAGGAAGGGCCAACACAACAAAAGGAGAATGAGACACATTAGCATCCTTGAAACCTGCTTCCTCCTGGCATCTGCATACAACCCCCAAGCACTCTGAAGTCAATAGTGGATTACAATACAGACAGTATTGAGTTCAGCCACATATGATTTAGCAAAATGATAACTTAAGTTACATTTCAATATCACCGGTCAATCTTCGTTCCCTCCCTCACCTATAGTCATGAGCTTTGGGTAATGACCGAAAGAACGAGATCGCAGATACGAGTGGTCGAAATGAGCTTCCTCCACAGAGTGGCTGGGCGCGCCCTTAGAGATAGGATGAGGAGCTCAGTCACACGGGAGGAGCTTGGAGTAGAGCCGCTGCTTCTCCACATCGAGAGGAACCAGTTGAGGTGGCTCGGGCATCTGTTCCGGATGCTGCCTGGACGCCTCCCTGGGGAGGTGTTCCGGGCACGTCCCACCGGGAGGAGGCCCCGGGGAAGACCCAGGACACGCTGGAGGGACTATGTCTCTCAGCTGGCCTGGGAACGCCTTGGGGTCCCCCCGGACTAGCTGGAGGAGGTGTGTGTATATAGGGAAGTCTAGGCGTCTCTGCTTAGACTGCTGCCCCCGCGACCCGGCAACGGATGAAACGGAAGAAAATGGATGGATGGAGGGATGGTTTTTAATTTTCTAATTTTGTCTCTTATAGTTGAGGTTTACCTATGATGAAAATTATAGACATCTCTCCTCTTTTTAAGGGGGAGGACTTGCACAATTGGTGACTGACAAAATACTTTTTGCCCCACTGTACTGTATATACACAGGCTATGAGTACATCAAACAACAGCAAACAACTTGGTAAATACTACATACAACTTCAGTAGTATGCAGAGACAGGCACCTATTCAAATCCTCAATATTGAAGATGAAATGCTTGGGTCTGAGTTGAATCCATCTGAAGTGACTCTCTGCATTGTAACTAGTGTTTACTTATTCATACCACTGCCCTGCGTTGAGCATCTGACATGAATACAAACCTTCTCCAAAGACTGGATCTGCTGCTTCTGCCTATCGTCCAGCGCCTGTCCCTGTGTGAGCATGGCCTCCCTCTCCTCCTCCAGCCGAAGCACCTTATCCTTCAGCCGGCTGCGCTCGTTGTCCAGGTCCCTGATGGCCGCCTCTTGGGTCATCTGCGTGGCCTGCAAGTTGCTGATCTGACCTGGAGTAAGGGAGGATTCACATGTCATTGAATGTACTGGGGGAACTGGCTTAGGCCCTTAAAGGAGGATAGCGCCGTCCCAATGTGGTCAAGTCAACTTTGGTACTGAGGAAAATATGATTAGTCAATATGTAACTTTAACAATATATATGTATGAATTGTGAATTGGACAATAACTGATTTACTGTGACATTAAAACAAACAAAATAGCAAATATCTTTTATTTCACTGGTTTGACAAAGCAGCATTGTTACAATTAACTACTACTACTACCAACTACTGACAATAATACTAAGACTACTATTACTGCAGCTGCTGTATATTGAAAACACTAAAGCTTGAGTCCTGACGAGTATGATCAAATTAGTCTCAGGTTGCTGCACTGGCTTTCTGTGGCTCAGAGAAAAGAACTAAAAGGCCTCTCACCAATGTACATCTGTGACATGTTAGTGCCATATGAACCAACTCGAACTCTGAGGAGCACAGGGACTGCCCAGGACTAAACATGGGGAGGCAGTATTTCAGCTAAAATCTGGAACAGTCGTCCTGAAAATGCAAGACAGGCTTCCACTCTTGACAATACTCTAATCCAGGTTAAAACTGTTCTGTTTAGCTGTGCATACAACTGAAGTATTGTATCTTCACTCTTTTTAATGTACTGTGATTGTTTTGTCAAGCACTTTGAGTTGTCTTGTGTATTAACTGTGCAATACAAAAAAACTTGCTTTGCCCGGCTGCTACTGCTGCGGGCTTTCTGCAAGAACCTGCAATACTGCATTTGGCTAAATGAGCTTTCAACTGCTATAATTTGACAAATATAAAACAAAAGGATGCAATTGCTCCTCACAATTGGCTGTGGGCTTGCATGTCGCAGTTTGGCGAAGGGCTACTCACTTAATAATATTATTATTACTGACAGGTCATTTGGAGAGGTTCCAGATGGTGCCAGACTATAACAACTGATCTCAACAAAGCAATGAATCTAGCGTAGCGTTGAGACGGAGGAGACGTTCGGGTGTGAGCTCACGTGGACGGAGCCGCATCTGTCAGCCAGACTTTTAATGAACCCCATGAATCACGTTTATCTGTCATCATGCAAAGGCCCTGACAGGTTAAACAAACGAGCTCCGTTAGTTCACACCGTTATTAATGCTGCTGTCAGGTGCATTTAGAGCTGCTCTTGTTTGGGGTAAAGCTCCAAAAAAATACACCGCACAAGCTTTTCTTATTAGTCTTTTCTCTCACTTGCAGTTTTGATGGTTGCAGCTGGAAAACCTGAAGGATTTATTTACTTGTGGTTCAAAAGTAAATTTACTTCTGTAATTCAACTTACAATGTAAAGGCAAGGAATGTCTATTTGTTTAGCGCAGTTCATACACAAGGCCACTCAAAGTGCTGAACAAAATAAGATCAATCACACAAAAATAATAGCAGTACATTAAAAAGAGTGAAGATACAGTCCTTGAATTGTATGCACAGCTAAACAGTTTTTAACCTGGATTTGAACATTTTCAGATAGAAGCCTGTCTCACATCTTCAGGAAAACGTCTGAAATTCATTCGGTACCCATACGGTATTTTGTCCTGACTCTGGGTACCAGCAGGAGGCCATTCCTTGTGCTTCTCGTAGTCTGAGTTGGTTAATTTGGCACCAATATGTCACATATGTACTTTGGTGCAAGGCCATGAAGAGACACAGAGAAGCAGAGCAAAGAGATCAGTCAATAGACTGATTACTGATTATAAAATCTTGATATTTGCCTCAAGATTTGTAAAAATCCCAAATAAAACAACTCGCAATATTTAGAAAATGAAACTTTTTAACAATATTCTAATTTCAATATGAGTTTCATAAAGTCATTTAAGCTAACTACTAAAAAGGATCATTCAAACAACATTTAAATGTACCTGTAAATTGTACTTTTTTTACTTGTCCTTCAGTTCTATTTTTACTATTGTGAGAATAAATATAAAATGTATAAGCCTATTCAGCAGTCCGTATCCCCATATCTCTCTAATAAGACTGTTTTTGAAGGAGTTTAAATTATGCGCTCTGAACTCAGTCATGTTTTAAACGTATCAATTGTCGACATAATTGCTATTAGCTATTTTTCCGAGCTAAACATATTTTACTCACAATACTCAACAGCCCATAAAGCAACATCGGAAGACCTCAAATGAGATTTTAACATGCAAGAGGGCACTCGCATTAAAATCTGGCATAATTGATTCTTACAGCAAAGTGCCATTACGCCGCTTTAGAGATGGTTGAATGATAATGTCTGGCAGCGCCACCTTCCATGTGTGGGAAGTGCTAAGTCCATGTCATACAGATAACTGTGAAAGTCTTACTGGCTTTGAGCAGGATTTCTGTGGCTTGCTGCTGGACGCGGTCTCTGGCAGCTTCCAGCTCACACTCGGCCTCCTTTTGGCGGATCTCCACGATCTCGGAGTTCTGCGTAACCTCGTCCAGCTGCTTGTTTAGGTCCTGGACAAGAGTCAAAACAAGCAGCCCGAATCAACAAAAGTGAAAAGCGGACTCTGAACTCAATTAGCAGAGGTTAGCGGCGGAATGGGTCTAAACGGGAACATTTACAGAGAGTCTGGCAGTTTTTGCACAATTTCTTGCTGGTGTAGAGTGACCTGGAACAAGCTGGAGACAGCTGGAAAAACTGCTAAATCTTTAGCAGTTCAAAATCATGTTTGAATAAACCTGGATTATCAATTGGTTAGGTTAGGTTAAAATCTGTTCATTTGATGTTTTTTAAGACTCCCCTGTAACTCGAACCCACTGGTTGCTTGCACTGGTGGTTACTCCGGCAACGCCCTGCTTTTACAAATCACTACCAACTTGTAGTGGTATGTAAAAATTCAGCTCTGTTGATTTTGTTATATTATTTGTTAGAGATGGGACAACATTGGGCCACTCCATCTATCAAGATATGACGCCCAGATTACACACACTGGTTCAAAATGATCTTGCAATACTTTCGCTCATTTGATTTGGATGATTAAAGGGGGATGGTTAGGTGGTGTGAATTACTTGAAGAGAAGCCATGTAAGATCAATACAACAATGACAAAAACAATATAACCACTGTATAAAAAAAGCACACAATGGGAAACTGCACAACTATTCAGACAGAACTTTGTCTAGTCTCAACTTAATCTCGTTTCATATTGTTGGAAACCTCTTCTCACAAATATTTGGCATGGCAGAATTTGGAGTATTTTGCTTATATTTTGGTAGAACTAATGCGAGGAACATAAATTATGACTACTACTCATTTAATAAGAACTAAACTAGAGGCTGAGTTTTGACAGACTAGTGGCTGAGTTCTGACAGGCACTCTCAGTACAGAATTCACACACACACACACACAGCGCAGGGTAATCTGTTGTACTCTCCTTCAGCCTAAATCATGAGAGGCAATTTCACATCTTTCAGTTCTATCAAACGACAGCCTCAAACTTAATTACTGCTGCCACCACAAAGACATTGAATTTGCACTATGATAATAACCACAGAGGAGCGCCGTGCAAATTAAAGCCGACATGTGTGAAGAGGTGAGCTCAAGTGAGGCCAACAAGACCCAGGCAGGTAGGCTGAACTACTGAACCCTGTGTTTGGAAAATACTGTCAATTATTTAAAAAGGAACCCCAAAACAGTTCATGCCTCATTAGGGGTTCATTGTAAAATATGGTTTTAAGCTTTATTGTCTAGTTAAAGGAGCAGTCTGTAAAAATCTGGCCAAAAGCATGTGTCCAGTTTGTGGTTCAGCTGAACACCCAGGTATTTGTACTTTCAATATCCCTTCCCTGGATGTTCACTGGGGCTGGCACCGTAGAGTGACGTCTGCAGCCATCCACCACCATCTCCTTAGTCTTCCCCGCCTTGATGAGGAGGTGGTTCTGCTGACACCAGTGTACAAAGTCTTGTATTAGTCCTCTGTACTCTGCATCATCATCCTCGGTACTGAGTCCAAGGATGACAGAGTTGTCAGAAAACTTCTGGAGGACACAAGTTTCCGTATTGTGTCTGAAGTCTGCTGTGTAGAGTGTGAAGAGGAAAAGCGCAAGGACGTCCCGTGGGCGACCCCCCTCTGCAGTCAGGACCTCAGACACAAAGTCCCTGGGTTCTCACAAACTGGGGTCTGTCAGTGAGGTAGTCCAGGATCCACTCGGACAGGTTGTAGTCCACTTCAGATGTCTCCAGCTTGTCCTTGAGAAGCCCTGATAGCTATACCAATGGGGGGGCCTCAGTTGTCTATCAGGGATTCAGATAATTCGGTCCAATCAGGAGCCTGTGGAGGCGTCTTTCATGGCTTGCGCTCAAAAGACGTCTCTCCATCTTTACAATTTGGAAAGTAACTGACCTTCACTTTCAGATAGAGAGATGTTTTGCAGCCCGAAAGTCATTGGCATTTTAATTTGTTGCTGGAAAATTACCGTTTTGTATTCTGCATGGCTTATCAAGACCTTCTGCTAATTGTTCACTGATTACACAGACACAATTCAGTTGAGAAAGCAGCTAATGAAGCCGTCACAGGCAGGTTGAAAAATGTATTATTGTGACAGAAGCAAAAGTGGTTTATTTTCTCAATAATGCGAAAAATATTTGATCAACTATGTGAAGAAGATCACAATTAAAGTTGAAGTGCAAGTCTTTAGACAGAAAATAATTATGAAACTTTTAACAACTTAAGCCCCATTCCCACCACACCGACTTGGCCCTACTTTTCTCTCCTCCAATTTCAACCGGCCCCCATTTAACCGGTACCAGGTAATTGTTTTAGTACCTGCTTGGCCCTAGTTCTATCCAGGCCTTGCTGGTACTGAAGTGTTCTGACTGACAGCAAGGCCATGATCATAAAGGAAATTCCATAGTTACTGGTTTGTTGTGTGTAGGTTGCTAGGATACCCATTACTAAAGTGTAATGGAAACACAACCAGGTAGAGCCGAGTAGAGTAAAGCCAAGTAAGGCCAGTGGAAACTGAGATTTTGTCTAATGTGATGTTACACAGAGGACATACCGCAAAGACACTTTATCAACCTTACACTTTATTACTATTGTTAATAACCATTAGAATTATGTATTAATTTGTTTGTATTGATGGATGATTTTCTGCTGCTTGACACCTGAATTTCTCCTACAGGGATCAATAAAGTATCTATCTATCTATCTATCTATCAATCTAAATTATAAAGACTCCTCGTATATTTCCACGGTTACACAGTTCATTTTGGAATGCATATTACTGGAGTAGAAAACTTTGTGTCGTTAACCACAACTATATCAAGATGAACGCAGCGTGTTTGTGTTTCTCAAATTGATATCATGAATGTCTGAGCACAGATTGAACGCACCATGATGTCCTGACACGGCTGCCCTCACATCACCCCACTGCTAACTCCCTTCGATGGTTCTATTTCCAGAAGTAATTAAGACTCCAGAGATTTTGCCCAGACAGAACCTAAACAGAATTTCTGACACTAAATGGGAAGGAGTCAGATTTATACATTACATTATATCTAGACAGGTCTATTATTCTTAGTTTTTAGTCTAACCCAAACACTAACCCTAACCCTAAACACATAACTCTAGAAAAACAGATTATCGTTTAAAAGGCTTGATATAGCTCTAATAAGTGTCATTGTGGGTTAAAATATTGAAGAAATTGACTTTTCAACCACATTCGAATGTTCCTAGTTTTCCATGTAATGCATTACAGTGGAAAATAGTTTGTCAATTATAAATCCTATATATCAACAACAATATATTTAATACAATCCCTTTCCAAAGATTTGCTAGAGGAAAACAGTTGGGCCAATGGCATGGGGCCTTGTCTGTGTATCAAGATTTTAATTTATTTTGTTCAATCAGGAAGCAATGAGGAGCAATGAGGGAATAAGACTACACAGAATGTTCATAGATTTAGTGGTTTGAAAATGTTGAGAATGAACTTAAGTGGACGTAAATTTCTCAATTGTGAGATCAATAAAGTTTATCTTTTCAAACTATTAGTCTGCGAGACAAACTAATGAAAGATCCTCCACAAGAAAAAGGTTACCCGTTGGATAACAATATAATGAAATATTCACTTGAAAATAAGACCAAAAAAAGTTCTACGAATAAAACAATGAAAACCCCCTGGGCAACGTGAAAGAGAGTACTCATACACGGTTGGGAACGACTGGTCTAGGACTCTAAATGTGTCTAATGTTGCATAAGCTTGGGACATGATATGAAGATTAAACTATGCCTTCTTTCGGATTGTTGAGAACCATTCAAATCTATTTCTTCTCTACTGAACTCACAGCGGGAGCGCAGGGATTAAAAGATGTGTTCACAGACTGAGGCCTTATTAAGAGATTATTGTGATATCTCGCACTTGTAAATTTCTGATGTTTGACAAAGCTAATTTGGTTGAGGTTTGTATTGTAATCAGCATTGAACCATGTACACAATGGCTGGCACGGTGGCAGAGAATTTAGCACGAAGATCCGAGGTTCAAATCCCAGTCAGAACAGGGTCTTTTTGAGTGGAGTTCAATTATACATGATAATAATAATTGTATTTCTTAAGCGCCTTTCTAGACATTTAAGGAACTCACCTTAAATAATAGGTAGAAAGTACATTTAAAAACATGTTTTTCCATGTTTTTTGTTAAATGTTGCCCAAAATGTTGTTCAGAGTTTTGTGTATCTCCAGGAGGTCTAATTAAGGATAAAAAAGCAGAAGAAAAATAACAATACCACTTTGCAATAGGTAAAATCTTCCAGCTCTGGTAGTCCTGACCAAGCCAAGCATCAAATCTAAAGAGGCCCCAGTGGATGGGTCAAATGCAGAGGACAAAATGCCCTACAGGGATAAATAAACTGTACTTTAACCAGCATCTCTTTATTTAAGCCTGTCTCTATGTTGCAGAGCTCCAAAATGCCTGTAACTTCCTTATCTGGGTTACAGTTAATTACTATGCTAACTAATGAAATTATTAACTCCAGGCGTTGCTGACCTTGATCGACAGCAACAAAATTGTGTACAATCAGCTATAATTTCACAACCTTCTGAGCAAATCCTAACAACGAAACAGACCTACTTAAGCAATCCCCGGGAGCACACGTGTCAACCCTATGTTCAAGCACGGAAATAATCCTGTGAGTCGCTCCCAAAGACTTTGCAGTAGTTAATGACTGGAACATATTTGAGAAGAAAACTCAGCTTTGTACGTCAGACGTTATTTTTACTTCAGGAACACTGTTGTAGGTACACTTTTCCAGCACTTTCTGAAAGCAAAGTCATCAAACAAACTGGAAGCTCAATAATGTGACACTGTCAAGTCTGTGCAAAGTACATAATTGATCTAATCACTAAATATTTATTACGAGTTAATTTAAAGCTGGAGTACCTAACTTTGAAACAAAATATTGCTATAAGATAAGATAAAATACTCCTATATAGTCTCCAATAGGTTGAACTTGTTTTGGGGCAAAGCTTCACAACACATACATTTGCAAACACCAAAGTAGACAATAAACATTAATCAGACCAAAAATAGACACAGGTAAGAGCACCATCAGTAACAGGGCGTCAAAACAGAGCACCCCGCAATCTTGCACTTCAGAAAGCCCAAAGTGCAGTATGTTATTGCAATTGTCCTGAATCTAAAGTGCAGTGTTGTATTGCACTTACCCTAAGCCTGAAGTGCATTCTTTATTGCACTTAACCTAAACCTAAAGTGCAGCTTTTATTGCACTTGCCCTAAGCCTGAAGTGCAGTTTTCATTGCACTTGCCCTAAGCACAGTATTATTTATTGGATGACTATGTAATAAAAACCATGTTTCTAGTTCCTAGCACCTAAAACTGTTTTACTGTTCTGTCACTGGTTTATTTTAAGCCTCTGTTACATCTTTAGATCAGTTTTTTTCCAGTACAGCCCCCTATCAGCTTTCAGTATGAAAAAGATAACATATTGTCTAATAAGATAAAGACACTTTACTTAAATACTAACATGAAAACATCTAGTTTAGTATTGTTTCTTTAACACTATTCCCTTGGGATCATTTCTGTTGGGAAAAACAATGAAACAAAAAAGTTATGTTCTCCAGATTTAATAGAAGATGCACATTAAGCTCCATTATTATATAAGATTACACAAATGGCTTTTATAAAATGTAATCTCAAGTTAGGTATTATGTAATGCCACAATTAGTGCAGATTTCTGAAACGTACAAAAGGAGATGAGAAAACTATTTGTTCAAACGTTCAGAGGTTTTTTTCTCCGATGTCAGAAATACACGAGTCAGATAATTAGATTTGAGTCAGTGACACAAAACACAAACACATTATGTACAGCATGAGTCTAACTGATGCAGACGCATTCCTTCATTGAACTTTTTGTAAACACAATTTCATCACTGCAGACTGCCATATCGACATACTGAGTACCATATTAACTGGGTTAGGGTTATACTTTTCTAATAAGACAGAAGTTTTATTTGTGTATGATAAATCACATCACTTTGATAACGAAACTTATAAATAATGGCCAGTGAGTTTTTTTTGAGCAAAGCAAAATCTCAACAACACACGCTCTAAACTAGATCTATTGAATGTCTTTGAACAAGGGTCATATATTTTACAAGCAGCACAAGGGCAGACCACAAAAATGATTCTCCCTGCTCATTGTCTTATCCAGAGGACAACATTTTAGGAGTGTACATAAAATCTGTCGCTGAAATGGCCTCATAAAGAGACATCAATAAAATGTCCAAATATGAGCCGTGTTTACTAGCCCCTCCCAGACCCTTACCTTGATGGTGCTGTCTGCGGCGTTGAGTGAAGACTGGAGTTTGTGGGATTTTTCTCTGTTTTCTCTGGCATCGTCCGTGACTCTGGCCAGCTCTGTCCGTAGTTTTCCCAGGGTTTTCTGCAAAGCTGCTTCTTGGGTTTGAAATTCCCGTCGTAGCTCGGCTTCTGTGCGTTTCCAGGCCAGGAGGTTGTCTGCGGTCAGCTGCTGAGTCCTCTTCATGGCTTCCAGTTCACGTTCATAAAAGGCTTGTGCCTATAGCAGCAAGGAGACAGGACTTGAATGTTAATGGAAAAAAGGCATTATTTATTATCGCACATGACTGTAAATTCCAACAGACAAGGTTCTTGTTGCAGAGAGCAATTTTTTTTCAACCGCCATATCTCACACCAGGAAGAGCTCTCCCCCTCACGCTCCCGCGTAGTGACGCAGTAGAACCCGCGACAGAACCTAACATGTTAACAATCTCCCCCTTTCTTTAAAAATAAAAAACATTTAAGTGTGCTTGAGAGACATACACACATCCAGAACAATGTACACAACAAAACAACAACAGTGCTAAGAGCCTGTGTAAACAGAAAAAGAAATTACAGTGACCATGAGCCCTCGTCTAATGCTTTAAGAAGCATAAGTGGTGAAGCTCCCTTTTTGGTTAAACAATCAGCAAGTTGTGACTTTGCCTCTGACCAACAGATCTGTCTGATTTTATTTGCATGTAGTAGCTCTTTAATGCTACTTATTTCTAGTCTCAATCTCTTCTCTGTGACCTGCTTTGTGGACTTAAGAGCATCAAACAGTGAATGGTTATCAGTAACACAAACAAGAGGAAGGGCATTCATGTTAGCATTACCAATAGTAAGCTCTGAAAATAATGTGGCCAGAAACATAGCGTTGTCTATGCCATCTGCCATAGCGAGAGTTTCTCCTGCCAAAGTCCTTCTTACCACACGCCTGATCTTCTTAGACTGCCAAAACAAAGGGGAAAACATGCCTCCTTTACCCATAAGCACAATTAAAGTCCCTCCTTGAGTTGCACCATCTGGGAGATTGCCAAGTGAAGCATCACTAAAGACCACAAGACTCAGATCATCTTTGTTTCCTAAAGGCTGAAACTTAAGTGTGACCTTCTCTGACTTAAGTTTACGGATTACCTTGTTCACTTCATGTATGGATTGGACAGTTGCATTTGTAATGTTAGATGCTAGGCTACATGTGTCAAACATAACATCTGGCCTTGTTTGTTTAGCAACCCACAGAATCTGTCCTATTTTAGACCTGAGCTGCTCTTTCTCTGTCTCATTTAAAGGAGCAGCTCTCTGCACTGCCCGAGCTGCCTTTAAAGACACTGGTTGGAGATTTTCAATGTAACTGTGCTGATGTACCAATATATTGTCTCCAATTGTGACAATATCCATACCTACATAAGAAAAATTCTCATGTTCTTCACGCCCCACTTGAAAGGTAGACTTTACCACAAGAATCACTTTTGTCACAAACTGCTCAGATCCTGCCCAAAGGAAGTCATCTACGTGACATGACAGTACACCAATGACCTCAGAATTTTCATTCATCCAGAAAAACACAGCTGGATCCACCTGAGACATTTTTCCACCTGTGTTCAGCATCAGTTCTTTGACCTTGTTGTACCAGTAAAGAGAAGCGTCTGCAAGTCCATATACACATTTCTTTAGTTTCCACAATACATTGTCTCCTTCAGCCTCAGGTGGGGGCCGAATGTAAACATCTCTCGAGAGTTCCATTCCCTGTAAAAAGGCAGACTTAATATCCATAGAGTGAATTTTCCACCTATTTTGACTGGCAACCGCTAATGTCATTCTGAGAGACTCTGATGCACATGTTGGGGAATCTTTCTGTAAACTACTATTATTTACCTCTTCAAAACCCCTTGCTACAAGCCGTGCTTTAGGGAGAATACCACTCTGTGTTTCTTTGAGTGTACAGACCCATCTAGTAGACACACATTTTTGACCTTTGTCTGCTACCTTCTCAAAAACATCATTGTTTTGCCAATTCTCTATCTCTAGCTGTTTGGCACTATCAAAAGAGATATCTTTGACAATAAGAACATCAGCCTCTGCATTTTCCGGCTTGATGTGAAGGTTATCAACATCTGACATATCTAATGCTACAGTAGTTTGTGTCCCTCACTACCATCAGGCTCAAGATATTGTACATTGTACCAGTCTTTGTATTGCCCTTTTGATTTTCCTGCTCTCCCTAAAACTTTGCCAGTGTGCTCAATACCCTCTCGGTCTGTAAATGTGACTGTTTGGCCAGTTTTCAGTTTTAAATCAGCAGTTCCATTACTTTCTGCATCAGGAGGAGTTACATTGGTTTCTGTAGGGTTCTCATCTACATCATTCTCACTATAATCAACAATTTGATCTACTCCATTTATACTTTGTGCTTCTGACACACCAGTATGTACTATTTTTTTATTTTCTGTAATGTTTTCGGTAGCATTTTCTATTGTATCTGCATCAGGTGTATTTACCTTACTCAACCTAGATTGATGCACACGTACTAGGATTCCCCCATGTCTGATAAATACTACAGACCCATCCTGCCCAATAACTACACCTGGGCCTTTCCATTCTATACTGTCAGCTCTTTTGTAGTACACTCTGTCTCCGGTCTCATATTTTTCATCTGTAGGCCTAAGCTGCTTTCTGATTGCCCTCCTAATTCGTTCTGAACATTCAACCTCTGTGAAAGCTTTTCTAGAGGCATGCAATGCCGCTATGTGCTGCCCTACTCTGGTGCTCACAGTAGTACCTTCTAGAGCGGGTAGTTTATCAATCAAAACAGAAGGAAGATTGGGATTTTGACCAAACACAAGTTGGTGTGGGCTGTAACCATGCACATTGAGCATACTGTTTTTGGCCATAAGAGCCCAATCTAAAGCCGTTTGCCACCCACACACATTTTCCCTTTTCACCTTTAGAAGGATTTCAGTTAGTGTCATGTTGTGTCTCTCCAACAGTCCGTTGCTCCAGGGACTGTATCCTGCTGTTGTCTTAGTCTCAATATTGAAGTTCTCTGCCATGTCTCTTATCTCTGCATTGTTAAACTCCCCGCCGTTGTCTGTGTAGATCCGTTTTGGTGCGCCATGGACACTTATCCACGAGTGAATGAACGAGTTGACTATTTCCGAAGGTTTCTTGGTTCTCACAATGTTTCCAGCGCTGAAACGTGTAAAATGATCGATGATGTGGAGGTACCATACGCCAGGCTCCAGCTCATGAAGATCCATAGCCACTGTCTCATTGTACTGTGAAGCTAATGGCAGACCAACAGCAGGCTTTGGCTTGGACCTGCTGTATCTTTGGCAGATCTCACAGTCACGAATGATCTCCTGCAGAATGATGGGGCAGTCTTGATCAGTGTTTCCGGAGCTTTGAATGAGCTTCTGAAGTCTTTCTGCAGATGCGTGGCCAAACTGCTTGTGAAGTTTTAGAAGAACTTTACGCTTTTCTTTAGTGGACATTTCTCCAGTGACAACTAGGACTTCACTTTCATTACAGCTCACTTCAGCATGTTCATCTCTAATGTCCACGCAATAGTGTCCTGAACTTGTAAGCTCCAGAGGCACAGTCTGCTTAAACATGACAACTCTGTCATTCTCCATGTCTAAAATAGTTCCTGCTCTTTTCAGGGACGTTTTGCTCAACAACAGGGGAATATCAGCTGGGACAACTTCAGTTTCAATGTGGCACTTTGTCTGTCCAATTTTTGCAGGAAGTTTCACTCTTCTGCTAGAGTACACAACTTGACCATCTCCAAATCTGAACGGACGGCTGCTAGGATGTTCTGTTTTTAGCAGTTTGTTGATTTGGCGTTTGTTAAGACCCTTAGCATAACTGTCCAGCCACTTCTGACCACAAACGGTACGTGTACAAGCAGTGTCAATAATAGCAGATCCTAAAGACTCAGTTAGGAATATTTCTGACTCTGTCATAGCTGCTTTAGTGAACAGAGTGATGTTACATTCTTCAACACTTTCATCTTCCATTAACTTAACGTCATTTCTGCGATGGGGACAGTCTTTAGCCCAATGATAGGTACTCTGACACACAGCGCATCTCGTCCGCTTACCGTACTTGTCAAGTGGATTCGTTCCTGGCTGCTGCCGCTGATATCCGCTCTGGGACGAGCCATTGCTACGTTTGAATTTCACATTGGGCCGTTGCTCCGTGAAAAATGCACCATCTTGAATCTCCTCTATGGCGTTTGCCTCACATGCTGTTTTTCCTCCGAATATGCGTTTTAATGCGGACTTCATTGATGCAAAAGTCAGCTCCGTACACGCAGTCAATGCCAGCTGTCTGCTTTTCTCCTCCAGACATGCCGTGTCCAGGAGCTTGAAAGCCAGTACAGCGTCAGGAAGGGTCATGTTGTACTTTTTCATGCGGTTATACCGCTGCTCAAAGTCAATGATGTAGTCCGCCATGGACAAAGCACTGCCTTTAGTGATCGAGTCAAAATGAGAGTATGCTTTGTACGCGCGGTCCTTTTCCTCTCTCAAAAACACCGCATCCAGTTTTGCAAGTAACGTCTCCATACCGTCATCTTTGTTTAAATCCACCGCGGATATTTCCAGCGCCGTTTCTCTGGCTCTCCCTTCGAGCCCAAGCGCCACTGCCAGCGCTTGTTTTGTCTTGTCCAGCTCTGTAACAAGTCTCCAAATACTAACTTCATTTTTCCAACACTCATACGGCCGAGCTTCGTCAAACTTCGGCGGTACTCTATAGTTGGAAACCATCCTCTGCTACCATGTAAATTCCAACAGACAAGGTTCTTGTTGCAGAGAGCAATTTTTATTCAACCGCCATATCTCACACCAGGAAGAGCTCTCCCCCTCACGCTCCCGCGTAGTGACGCAGTAGAACCCGCGACAGAACCTAACATGTTAACAATGACAAGGCCCTGCAGTGGCACAGTCACGCAGCTATAGTTCAGTCCTTCAATGGAATCGAAAGATGTCTAATAAAGAGACATTTTCTCTAACAAAAATCCTGAACAATGCACAATCCACATTTGAAACACCAGGACTATAAAAATTGCAGACAAAGTGGCCGACAGAGTTCAATATCTTTAACTAAATCTTCTCCTTTTTATCATTTTCCTTTTTACTGTGCCGAAACAATCTGCACATCAGCGGCTTCACTTTGAGCAAGGACGTAAACGGAGCCAAACAATTGAGCAGCTTCCGAAAAGATTTGGCAAGCTTCGACAGCCATTTTTAATTCACCACTCTCAAATTTGAACTTTATGCTGTCTTGATGATCAAAACCACCAACCAGACAAAAAGCAGCATGTCGAGGAAATGCTGCAAAAAGGCAGGTGATCACAATATTTCTAATCTAAATGTAAACACCAAGAAATACCATAAGTAGGCTCAATTATTCTATGAGTAACAACTAACCTGTTTCTAACATTCTTTCGTAGCTAAGTAAGGGTATCTAACACTTTTTTTTGCTTCTCTGCTCACCCGGGAAGATAAAAGCCTTTTCTTGGCGTTAAACTTTGGCTTTAACATTTTGACTTTTTGTTTAGGTGGAGTTGAATGCTTATTAACTGTTCTTCTAATAAGGCAAATTCAGAAACAACAGCTGGTAAGAGGCTTGTCACACCATCACGTGTCACCTCTGACGAAGGCAGTATTTTACTCTCGAAACATGGAAATAAAGCAGTACTAGCTTCTTCACACTCTTTATCTTTATAGAAGATGTTAAGCCTTAAACAAAAAGAAAATCCAGTCGTTCTGGATATGTTCAATAGCTCTAAACAGTAGTGCTCATGCTCCATGCGAGAAACTCCTTAAAACCATCTGATTTCCCATTGAAATAAACAAGCAGACTTAGAGCGTGTCTGAAAAAGTTCATCCCAGAAGTGAAATTGCTAACCCTCTACTGTGCATGGACTTGGAATATTAGCAAAAGCAATGTCAAAACACACGTAGCTGGAATTGTAAATATTCTTGTCCGTTACCTTACTGAGTTTGGCTTCATATTCCTCCACCAGCCGCTTTTTATCCTGTTTGAGCTCCTCCACTCGCTCTGACAAAGAATCCACCTGGAGAAAAACAACATACAGTATAATGTAGTCTCTATAGTCTTTGATAATAGGAGATGAATATACATTGTCTTCTCTGACTAAAACAAAAAATCCATCTTTACTTCTCATAACTTTCATTCATTTACAATTATTTGTAACTGTTTCTGCAGTGCATGCTTCTTTCTGTTTAGTCTTAGACTGATTCTACTGTAAGTATTCAAAGTTCCATTTTACCTTTATTTTAATTACTAACTAGGGCATTCTATTTATTAATTCTTTGCACACTATAAACCTGCTGTCACTTTGCCTCTGCCAAGGGACTACGGATGAAAATTAGCTGGAAGCTATGTCCAGTCTGAACAATGCATTTACTGTACAATGGTCCTGTCAAATAGAAAACATGAATAATAAATAAAATAAAAAATCTTAGAAAGTAAGTCATCTTTATTTATACAGTATAGCGCCTTTCATAGACCAGAGTCACAAAGCGCTTTACAATTGTCGTGGGCATTTGACTCTCACTACACACAGAGATGGGAGCGGGGTTGCCATACAGGAGGCACCTGCCAGACCTGTACATATTGTACATATTTTTAGTGGTAGGGGAAACCGGTAGCCTGACTCTCGCCAGACACTTGTAGTTCCGCCATGCTCCACCCGAAGCGTTTCGCTAAACACAAGGGTCTGGGATCAAGCGCATAGCAAACTCCTTCAGCAGATCAAAAAATAATCGACCAATCAGGATCGCCGGTGTTACGTCGGGTTTGCCTTCTCAAAGCGTGTCTCCAAGATGGCGGACATAAAGTCAGTGAATTTAAATACAAACGGATTAAGACGCGGATGTCACTCTTAATGGAATATGAGGCGAGATGTTGGTGGTTGGTGTTTAAGAGTCAAATGTTTGTGTAAAGTGTGGTTTAAGTACTAGTTTAAGTGTTCCTGTTTACAACACTACGCAGCAGGGTTGCCAGGTTGGGTGGTTTCGAGAATACTATTTTCCAAAAGACTTGTAGGTAATAAATAAACAGAAAGACAATAAAAAGAATCATGATAGCCCAAGTTTTTAGCCAAAAAATCATTCTGGGTGTTTTTTTTTTTGGGCATTCTCGCGGATTTTGGGCTGGTGATTCTTGCCGGCATTTGGCAACCCATCGGGGTCGTGTGCTTTGATGCGAGTGGTTGAAGGAACACGTAATTCAGGATAACAGACAAGTTGTTTATCCAATCACATACAAGGATTTTTTTTTACAAGGCCCCGCCTTCTGAAATGTATGCACTATGGATCAGACCCAGACCCTTGAGAGAAGCGCAGCAATCTACAAGGGTCTGGCAAGAGTCAGGCTATGAAACCGGAGCACCCAGAGGAAACCTATGAAGACATGGGGAGAACATGCAAACGCCACACACAAAGTAGAACAAGTAGTAATTTATCACCACTGTGTATGGCGTGAATGCATAATGCCATAAGCGTCGATGAGTGTCCAAAAAAGCGCTATATAAAACCTTTGATATTTTTATCACCTCTGCTTTGTGGAGCTGCACCAGTTTTTCTTGGTCTTTGCTGTAGTTGGCGTTCTGGCTCTGGTGGCTGCGCAAGAGCTCTTGGATCTCCTGCCGGTGTTCTCCTTTCAGCTCCTCCAGTCCCACCTTCTTCTCCTGCTCGAACTGCGTCTGGGCCGAGCTGAAGGAGCGCAGCTTGTCCTCGAACGACCGCCGCATCTCCTCCACCTCCCGTGACATGGACACCACCCTCTGCGTGTGCTGTGTGAGGGTGATACCAGGGGGGACCCAACTCACTAAACAATATACTTGTTATTTATTAATATTGTCACTACTCTGGTTTAAAGGAATCGGGACGTTTTTAGTTTGTTCTTTTTACCTGATAGTTGACATTCTTAACTTTGTGTCTAAGGACCTAAGATTACCACTTCCGTCACTTTATACTTTCATACCTCTGGTCACTGATTGATAATCTGCACTGCTAGATGTCTAGTGAATGTATTTATATAATATAATTTTATCTCAACAGTAATTTAACAGTAATTTATCAGAAAATAATATCCAAACTCTTGTTAGATAAAAGCAATCCTTTTCTGTCTGGTATAGAAGAACCCAATACTTTTTGTAATCCTTTTGTCAAAACACCTCATCATTTAAAATTAATAAATAAATAAAACAAGCAAAATCATTTTACAATTGTAAAAGATCAGCTATTTAGTATATAAAATAACTAGCTGCTAAGATAACCAATTCCGGCCCCCAGCTAGATTTTAGTATTCTCATTCTGCCCCTCGACCAAAATGAATTCAACACCCCTGCTCTAAATTGAATGCAATAATAATGGTTCTTTGAATAAGTAAGACAAGACTAAATTAGTTAGTACATTACAAACAGGGACGTTTCTGCAAACCACCAAAGTAACAATGACTTTTAAGTAATGTGAAAAGTCAAGACTTTCTGGGCACATTGTGCTTTGATAAGGTAGATGGGTTTAGAATATCCCAGCAGTAAACTCAACTCAACTAAAGTCAACTAAATGGTTTTTTAAATTAGTTGGGAACATTGAATGTCAGAATAAATCAGTCAGTTTTCTTGGGTTTGCTGAGAAGGACGGTGAAATGTGTTTGTGGGAAGTAATTGCCATATATGCACACGTTGACTTTATCAACTGAGTGTAGTGTACGGTTGGTATTAAGAGGGACCTCAATAATGAATTTGCTATAGAAAATGCTGGCAATGGATTAGCAACAAGCATTTTTTTCTTGGGCCTGTGCTGGGAGATTAGCAATAATACGTATTTGAGGGCAATTTTGTTCAAACTGTCGCCACATGGGTCGAATAAAGGCTCTCTTATCTTATATTCTTGCATATTTCTCACTTTGTTGTGCTGGTTTTGGACACTATTCCAGTTTTGGACCACATTTGGGGTCTACAGGTTTTGTCAGAATGATTTGACAAAACCTTACCACAGTTCATCTTAGGTTCCTGAGGGTCATTTGAATGGTGGGTTTGTTGGCACGTTCATCACTTGTCACAGAGAAGAGCGAGCTGCTGCTTCAGGCTCAGAGATGCTGACACAGAGAGCCACTGCCACTTGGATTGTATTTATGTGTTTGAGGTCGCTCCATAAACTCAAGTCAGGGGCTACTACACAGGGCACCATGAGGCCAGAAACACAGGCTAATATTACCGATGATAGCTTTATGGGTAGAGCCCTTTCTATTAGGACTACACAATATATAGCCAATGAATATCAACTGACCATCTCAAAAGATAATTAAGTCTATTTACTACCTTCACGACCTTCACGAATCTTATTTGTCCTTTACTTACACCGCTGCATACTTTTCTAACAGTTTATAGTTTGTATTGGGATATACAGCATTGTATCGTAGTTTGAGCTTTATATTGTGCAATGCAAATCCCATTGATTACACAAAAGCTATGAGAGCTGAGGTGTTGTGTTGCTCCAGTTTGTACTACCTGGGCCTCTGTACAGTGCTGCATGTCCTCCACGCGTTGCCTGTAGCTCTCAAACTCAGCGAGTGCCTGCCTCTTCATCCTCTCGTGCAGCTCCATGGATTCTTCCAAAGACTGAATGCGCCGCTTCAGGTCCAACTCATCACTTATCTTACTCTTGTACTGAAAAACACATCGAGGACTATGGTTGGGATCTCTGGCGGAGTACAGCAGCAGCAGATACGAGAGGTAGAACATGAATTGGCAATTGAGAATATTTTCCCAGACATTAGACAAAGGAGTGTTGATCTTGGTCTTTTACTTACTTACTGACTTTGTTCTATGAAACTTTTTATTATCAGCTTTAAAGGTCCCATATTGCACTTTTTCTATGCTTTAAACATCATTACAGCAGGGCTCGACATTAACGGTTGTCCACTTGCCCGGGGCAACTAAAGATTTGGGACGGACAAGTGCGCTGTCTTAGCAAGTTTCCCGATCGGGAAAGTGATGTTTGGCTCGCAGTAGTATTACTTTAACCCTTTCAGGCCGGGAACGCATTTCTGCATTTCTACCTCTAGAGCCGGGAGCGGACACATCTGTTTATCTTTTCTTGACCAAATCTCTTCATTGGTAAATTCTCTGGACCTATGAAATAAATCAGGATTACCCAGGGATGATCATTTACTGTGGTTGAGAGTGGATTTTAGTATATTTTTTTCCAAACAGTTAGTGCCACTTTATTGCCAAACTCATTGCATTAAGAAATATTTGGGCAAGCAACTTTTGACATTAGGCGAGTAAATTATAAATGGTTGTTGGAGGGGAAGGGACATCACTTCTAAGCATGAAATGACTATCATTTGACAAGTTTTGAGTGTTGTATGGCGTATGACCCACATTATTATCACACACGTGCTTAGGATGGACTGTGAAAAACTAAGAGGAGCAAAAAATGGGACTCTTAGCTGTCCTTAGCCATCAGCTGCCATCCAATTCACAGAGCCCATCACTGACCCTCCTGCAGGCGGGTGTCTGCTCTGTCAGTGAGAGCATAGCTTTGACCTTTCAGCGGGGGCTTCAGGCAAAGAGGGGTTAAGTGTCTTTCCCAAGGACCCAACAACAGCAGACATCAGTGGGAGTTGGTCTCATGGTGGGCTCATACCCACGCTCTTTAGGCTCAAAGGTCAATGCTCTACCAACTGAGCCAGTGGTAGAAATTAAATGAGTACGAAATTAAATGAGTACGAAATTAAATGAGTACGATGGTATGGTAAGACCAGGCTATCCAGCTCCTGCAAAAGAGTTTTCAGGATGGCCTCTTCTGTAGGTAACTCAACACTTATGTACCCACGTAGACTTTGGAAAACGTGACGTGTAATGGAATGAACGCATGAATTGTTAACTCTAATGTACAGACCACGTGGACATAAAGCCTGGTTCACACGGCAGGATATTTAGGCCGATTTAGACCCGATTTACCCCTTACGACAATCTTAAGAAACGCTCCGATTTCCGTAACAAAATCTTACAGATTATCCTGCCGTGTGTGGTGTGTTAAGACTGCACTCGTCGCTCGGAAGGACATCGGGACTGCTCCCGATCTCAAATCGGGGATATCCAACATGTTGGATTGTTTTGGCCCGATTTCTCTTCGTGTGTGGTGTCCCCCGAGGACAGACGTGCGCGTTGCCATGACTGCGGCGTGTAGCCAATCAGAAGACGAGACGAGGCGGTGAGGAAACGCCTCCATATCACGATGTAGCAAGTATAGTCCATGCTCGTGTTGTCTACACTTCTTTGACCATCGCCTTTTCTTTTGATTACGTCTTTTCTCCGATAAAAACAAACTATCGCCAATGCATCCTCTTCGTCCGCCATGTGTGTTTACTCTGAAGTCACGCTTGATCTCGCGAGACCTGAGATTTCAGTCTGATCTGTGAATACTCGGGGGGGAAATCGGTTCGTGTGTGGTTTGCGTGATTTTTGCCGTGTGGCTGCGCACCACACACTGTACGACCAAAGTGGTTCGACCCGTGATTTTTTATCTCCCTGTGTGGGGTCTCACACAGAGAAAAATCGGCCGACAATTTTAAAATCGTCTCGTGTGAACCAGGCTTAAGATACCAGATGCAACAGTAATACAACTGCACTTGTAATAATAATTTGTCATGGAACTGTTTTTATGCTGATTAGGAAGCAATAATATTTAAACATTCACACAATGTATCGAAATCCTGAATGTGTTGATTGTTTAAAAGATTTGACTCAAAAGCAACAACTCATACGCAAGGGTATTCCATAAATATTTGTAGCAATATCATAACACAAGAAACATAGCAAATCCTTTATAAAAGCAAAAAAGTGCAAACGCTTGAATAAATCAAGTAATTCTCTGCTGAATCTCACTCCTCTGTTGTCATGGGGACCAATTATAGTCTTATTTGAGAGGTGACACGCAGCATATAAAGGGCTTAATAATTGATATAAATTCATTTTCAGCAGATTTCAATTCATTAGCTTCCCCGTGGATGGCAGACCGCGTTGTCGTGGCAACCAGCTGCTCAGAAGCGATTCTCGTTCAGTGTCGGGTCGGCGCCATGAGGAGGTATCCAGATGATTAACTGTTAAGTGCAATGAGACTAATGCTCCTGCCGCCCGGTGAACGTCATCTGAATGTGGTTAATCGTTCACATAAGCGAGGATTACTCAAAGCAGGCTCAGATATAAGTCAGGGTTTATCATTTTGATCCAGAGATTGTGCGCTGGCGATACGTCTTGTGTTGCCATGAAGACGGGAGGCGTGTTCCCTGTGGTCAAGACAGATTTGTTACAATCTCTGAGATTTTATATTTGAGGAAATGAAGGGAAGCTCGAGCAGTTTTAATATACTCAAGTAGTACATCAGAACTAAAACATTGTGGGAGCCTATTTTTCACTTAGTGCCCAAGTTAAGACAAAGTTTGCCAAATTATAGGAATTTTTTACTTATTATTAATCACTTTTTGCAATGAACCAATAGGAAAATCAACTGAGCTACTAATTCCTAAACATCAATAAAAGATAAATCGTGCAGCGTTATCTTTCAAACCCAAAATAGCAATTGAGAAACCTTCCCAATGTATGCACTCCTTTTTACAACATGTTCATGTGTTCTTCCATTCATTAATTGTGTCTAACTTTTTGCAATTTAGGTAAATTTTTTTCTAATCCTTTTTGTATTATTATTATCATCATTATCATTAGCTGGGATTGATCGCATTGTACTGGGATTTAAGACAATGCTGCATTGTGTGGAATTGATTGCATGGTAATAAATGATAAACATTGAATTAATGCTGAGAATGCTCCTCATTTTCTACCCACAGGCACAGAGCTGAACAATGCTAACCATGCGCTGTGGGTTAATCATTCCCACTGATTCCCTCCAGGAAGCGGCAGAACAATTACTCCTTGCGAAGCCACGGATATTTCCTCTGCTCGATGCACAACGGTCAGCTTTTAATGATCACTCATAGATCTGTAAAAGTAAAAAAAAATAAAAGAGACCTGTAGAATCTTCTCTCTGGTCTCGGACAGAATTTGCTGAACCTCCTCTTCGTGGGCCTCTTTGAGCGTCGCGATGGCTGCTTCGTGCTCGTCATTTTTTGTGTTGAGTGCATAGATAACCTGAAACACAAAAAGACACAGAGAAATGTCAACAACCAGCAATCATAATCAGCAAGAAATAATAAATGCAACTGGTTCGTTTGAAAAATAAAGGTAACAAAGGTGAATTGTCTTTTTAATGGTTTAGTTCCATGTTCATTGGTACTACCCTTTGTGTCGTGATTCATGTTTGAGTAGTATTTTAGATTTTTATTTCCACAAACAGGACTTTTTATAGATCTTTGAAATCGGGCCCTAGTCTCAAACACAATATGCATTGTGGCGCCGCCTACAATTGAAAACCAGATCCCTCAGACCTCTGAAGTGGAGCATGGCAGAACTGTGATGGGAGACCTCTGGGTATTCCAGGTGCCACAGTAGGGCAACTAGGGCTGCAAAGTGCCAACTGTCATTGTGTCCATTTTCTAGAATGAGTCTAGTGTGTGAGTAAATGGATGGTGGTGGTCAGAAGGACCAACATACTGGTTGCCTCGCTTCTGTCAGTGTGCCACTAGGGCAGCTATGTGCACAATGTCAGGTTTACGTGTCTTACCAATGGGAAATATGTGAGATTTTTGTGTGTGCATTGTTCCTGTTCAATAAACAATGAACTAAACTAAACTAAAACTAGATACAAAGTTCAGAAAGTAACAATACTCAAAGAAAAGATAAACAGGACAAAATGTGAGATTCTTTGGGCAATTTTATATATTTTTTTTCTTTCAGAACTCATTTAAACAGTGTTATTTAGGGAAAAATGCATCTTTGTTTATATTATTGATATAGATAATAAATTCTATCTTAAATAGAGTCTGCAATTTCATTATTGTGATAACAGTGCATTGCTCTGAGGTTGTTAACTTCACAATGGGATACGTTTTGATGCAGTTGCAATTGAGCTCAAGGTGTAGTTTTCATCTTTTCAGCAATGCTTTAACGTAAAAAAGAGAATAATATGAATTCAGCAACTATGGGCCTTCAAGAGGAATACAGGAAGACTTCAGATTTGAGATGATGTGGTTATAATGCTAAGAACATCCACCACACTATCACGTTTTCTCCCACTGAAAATAACAAAACAAACGGGCTGCAGTACCATATTACAGCAAAACAAAACATACATTACAGAAAATTACATGCCATAAGTTCTTTCTCTCTGTTGCCTCGGTTACTACAACCATATACCACACAATAATACTGCATTGTATGTGAAAGTCAGCAAAGTGTCGACTGCGGACAGTCAGCTGTGTCTGCCATGTGTTAGCCATGCTACGCAGGCTAATGCTACCGCATTTCTTCCATTCTATTTTAGGCATTTTCCTAAAACTCTCCAGGTCATTGCATCATCTTGAAATGCATTAGTTGATAGGGGGCAAAGAGGGAGAATCGCGTTTTTGTTTCACAGGTGCTACGTTGCTTCCACCTTGCCCTCACAAGTTTAAAGTAGTAGTAGTAGTAGTAGTAGTAGTAGGAAACATGGAGGACCACAGCTGTGTAAAAGAACTACCCGAACAACAATCTTTTTCTTAAATAATTATGCGAAAATCTAGAAACCGGCGTCTTAACAGCAAGCGTGTCAACATCTCAAATCACACGCACAAAAAGGCAGAGTTCACAGAGGCACATTGCTGAAGTTTGTACACAACAAACGCACAGTGAACAATACACTTTCCTCACATCGTCACCAGAATGTGCAACACAGGTCTCAGGATGTTCCGAGTGCAGTCCAACTTCTATGTCCACATGTTTCAACTAAACTTATTCAGGGGATAAGCATCAAATATGCAAAACAATCACCAGAATACCATATAACAACAGAGTGAGATTGAATGTTCTGTCTTCTTACCTGGTGATGCCGAAGCGGCTCTGTGGTGAAAACGAAAAATAATCTGAGCTTTTAGCCACAGTTCTGTCAAGGCTATCCATTTATCCATTTATCAAAACTAAAGGATAGTTTCCTTGGCCCCGGTTACAACAACATATTGTCCATCGAATCACTGATAGTACCCAGGACGCTAGATGCACCTTAAAGGTATAGCAGATTTTTCTTAGAGCCAAGATCACAATTATACTTGGAACTTTTGTGTTGCCTTTAAGCAGTCAGCTGCTTCTGGATAATCATAATTCACACACACACACACACACAAACGCAAACACGTCACTCGCACAAATGGAAGGCTGACTAATATACAGTACAAGTGAAACAATTATGTTTGAAAATAGACCCTCAAGAAGCCCTGGTTTGTATAGGGTTCTTTGTCAAAGGAATTAATAAGGAATCCTTATCCACACACACATGCACACAAAAAGACACACACATACAGATACAGACATATTTATGCAACTCGCACAATGGAGGAAGGCTGACTAATATACAGCAGAACTGAGCACAGAGACACAGAAAAGTACTGGTTTGTATTTACTGTAGGTGTCTTTCTCAAAGGAATAAGGAATTCTTTTTAAGTGCGATCCATAAACAATGATTGATTAAAATTATTTATTTGTAATTACAAGCCAGAAAGATCCGTCTTCCAAGATCCCTAAACTCTACGCTGAACCACGCTATAGCATCCCACTGTTAGCAGTTGCATTATCTAAAAAGCATAACCCTGTGGCCACAAATTAGAAATAGAAGCTGTGTTTTGCTGAGGATAAAAATATACGTAACTTTTGTGTATGGGATTGACCTTTAAATCTGGAACCAAAAATACATGCAGCCGTCCGTGGAGCTGTAATCTGACGCACAGTGATCCAGGCTCAGAGGCAGAAAGAGCAATTTGCATGAAAAACCAAGAGACCTACTTCCCCGGTGCGCACCCCATTTTTGCTGCGTTCAAACAGACGCGTGGATGCCTCATCTTCTTTTTGTTTTCAATAATTCAGAGCGTGGAACTGCGCTGGAGCTAAAGGGCTTTTGTTTGTCTTAGACCAAAGTCCGTCATCAGAACAAGAAAAGAGAATGAATACAGAATAGACTACAAGGGGAGGAGGAGGAGGAGGATGAGGGGGGCGCTATGAAACAATCCAGCTTTAATGCCCTGCAGCGACAAGAAAGAGACTGGCAACTTCCTCTTGGGACTCATGTACGCATGTTCTGACAACTACATATCTATTGCTGAAAGAACTTAGCAATAGAGGCTTTGGTCGTTTAGTCCAGAGTCCCCCAACCTTTTTGAGCCGTGGCTCATTACAAGTTATCTAAAAATATAATTAGTTCAAACTATCACATAGCACACCACCAACTGAAACCAGTACAAAACTGAAAATCTGCAGCTTTTCTCACCAATGTAAAGTCATTGTTATATAATGTATAGAAAGTAAAATAATAATTGTATTAGAAAAGTACAAAAAACAAGCACAAAACGCATTTTTGATCTTCTCACATTTTCTTTTCACATTATTTCAAACAATTAAGTGTTATCTGACGTCAAGCGTCGGGTCACGTGGTGCACAGGTTTTTGTGCACAAAATGTATATTTTATTATCTATCATGTTTTCCACATATGTGAGTTTTTTTTGTTATAATGTTTGATGATTCAAGAATTATTTTGATATTGCATAAGTTTCTATTAGTAGAGAAACTGTCATGATTTGTGTTAATTGGTTTGGGGGGAGGAGCTTCAGGGGATAAGGGAGGGCTGTCAGAGCCACAATGTGTGTGGAAGTTGGATGAGGAGGATGCTGTGCAGGGCTGGCACAAAGCGCCAGACTTTTTCCCTGATGCCCCTGGAGGTCAGCCAATGTATATATTTTTGTCACTATTAGATTTTTTCTTTACTTGCTGCAGCAAAATAAAATTGTGCACCATTTGAAAAGAAAAACTGACCAGTCCATATCATTTTGTTCGCATCTCTTAGAGAACCCGTGACACACGGACTGCTCTATCCTTGTTTATGTGTGTGCACCTGTGCATGTGTGACAGAGAGCATGCATCCAATCAAATCACGTAGATCGTTTTTATTCGACAGCGGTCAACCACATGAAACAAGCTCTTAGTCCAAGGGCCAGACAACAAACTTGAATGCGCCAGCAAAATTATACCAAAGATTATTTCATTCTTATTATACTTAAATAAGAATAAAATAATCAATTTAATCTTTATTCTACTTAAACTTATTTAGTGAATATAAAATCTTCCAGATGTATCCACAGTTTTGTTTTGCCGTGCATACATCTGGAAGATTTTATCTTCACTTTTCTAAAATGAAATGTTTTGTGATCATGTATCTTTGAATTTGAACACTGTCAAAGTATCGACCAAATATATTTTTAAAGCACAAACTCAAGCCACTACCACAGAGAAGGACATTCTGTTACATATAAAATAGGTCTTATAATATCAGATCTGCAAACTCAATAATAGTGACTATTTGGCGCATGGCAACATCTTCGATGTTCAACTTTTTTGTCCATGTCAACAATCAAATGTTTTCCCTGAATTGTTTGTATTTTTATTGTATTAATTATTGGTATATCCTCAATAAATGTAGAAAAAAAATCTATTAAACTTCCAGCATTCTAATATTTGGGTGCAACAGCACAACACATGAATAGCCTACTATACAAAAAGTAATAATTCTTCACCCCCAAAATTATTATTTGTTGCAGATTATTGAGACACGTGATGTATTTAAGACACTTTAAGATTGACCAAAATATCAGACGTTTTAGTAAACATCACCTTTAAGATTTTCCCATTCGGTCAATAAGCTACCGAGAAGTATTCTACCTCATTTTACATTTAAATATCTCTTGAAAATATACTATATTTTACTTCAAACATCCCAAGTAGTAATAATGAATACAACATTTAAATACAAAATGTAAGACTCACTCAAAATCTTTATTATTCATCCTCTGCATTTGACCCGGATCCTGATGCCGCTAAGGCTTGGGTCAGGAGCAGTGGTTGCCGTAGTACAGCGCCCGGGAACCCATCTCCAGATGTTGATGCTCGGCTTAGTCAGGACTACCAGAGCTGGAGGATTTACATAGCGTGCATGTTTTAATGGTAGGGGAAACCGGAGCACCCGTAGGAAACCTACGCAGGCACGAGGAGAACATGCAAACTCCACTCAGAAACACATTGTTCCGACCGTGATTTGAACCCAACACCTTCTTGCTGAGAAGCGAGAGTGCCATCCACTCATCCACCATTACGCCACCTGTTTCAATTCTGTTTCAATCCAAGCACAACTGTATTCATTTTGTTCATAAAACCTACCGCAAAAAATTAAAAAAAACCATATTCAATAAAAGCAATCAGGAGAATTGCGTAAACTCCAAACTCCCTGAGGCAGAACACTAGGCCACGGCAGTGCAGCCACTTACTTTGCTTTTACAATCTTTCTGACAAAAAGACAAAGACAAAAAAAGAAAACAGAAAAATGAATTACCTGAGGAAATTTGTTCTGAACTAAATTGAGCAGACGGTTAAATTATTCAGGCTCTTATCAGCGTAGGACGTGAATGGAGCAGACAAATGGTGTGAGGAGGTGACACATTGTTCCTGTTCTGCGAGGCTTTGTGGAGAGAAATAGGTCCTGGTTCTGTGCATGGTTCATTCAACCAGCACCAGACCACTCCACGCCTGCACCTGTCACTACACATGTGCACTCTGACTGGAGACACTCAGAGAAATCACAATAATCAAATCAAATCAAATCAAATTTTATTTATGAAGGGCTTTTCATACAAAAGATGCAACACAAAGTGCTTTACAGTTTGGTTAAAAACAATCCCGCCGGCCCATGTCCCCTCTCCCCTCCCCCCGACCACCCAACAGACCCATCCCAAACCACAGACAAACACACACGCTCCCATGCACACTCTCTGACACACACACAAGTAAAACAGTAAAACAATGATGAGAGACTTGGCAGGGTTCGGATGCAACCAGTTGAAAAAGCGTCATCCTAGGAGCCGTCTGCACCAGGAGCAGAGAGCCGCCTGTAGCCACAGGGGACGGCACAGGATCTAGAGGAGACCCGAAACCGAGGCCCCAGGCCCCCACCAGGTCCAAGGGTCCGACCCCCACAGCCACGCCGACCACCGCTCCCAGTGCACAGGGCTCCTCCAGAGGAAACACTGGGTACACTA